GGAGGCACTTTGGGTGCGTAGGTTTTTTTTTGTGGGGGGAAGGGGCTCTGGGGGTTCTCTTTGGGGCCCCAGGGGATCTCTTGAGGGTTTCTGGGTGCCCCGTGGACACCTCAGTGTGAGCATTTCCGCTAAATTCGCGTAGGGGTCGCGCAGGGGGACAACAGTGGTCAGTGTTGGGGACTTTGGGAGGTTTCTGGGAATCCAAGTTGGGTTCTCTTTGGGGCCTTCTTGCAGCCCTCTTGGCCCTTGTGTGGGCTCTTGGATCCCTCGAGGGCCCTCACGCGGCAAGCTCGAGCCTTATCTGGGCTGCCCTGGGGCCTTGAGAGGCCCACTGCTGCCCGAAAAGGGATCATTTCAAAGTTCACATGGCCGCCGTATGTGTTTCATCTAAGTTGTAGGGTCTCTGAGGGAAGCAGATTCGACGACTTTGGCCGTCTTAGAAGTCCGTTGTGCTGTCTGTCTTGGGGGGCGTCATGAGCCATCTTGCAGGCATTTGGGCGCCTCATCAGGCAATCTTGGGACATCTCGTGGCTTCCGGGGCACTTCTCCCCCCCCTCCCAGGGAGCGTTTTCCCGCCCCAGGAGGGGAAATTCACACATTCCCTACCCAGAGTCGTCTTCCTGGACGATGCTGACCGTGTACCAGGCCAGCTCGACTCACGGTGCCGCGCGCGCCGGCACGCGCCCCAGCTTTGCAAAGTTGGGGCCCTCCCAAAGGAGCGACCTCGCGCTCGCAGAGCCGTTTGGCGAGTCCACCCGTTGCGCTGCTCGCGCCAGGGAGTCTTTGCTCCTGGCTTTAAGTCGGGCATGCTCCTCTACAAGAGGAATCTTCAAAAATAGACAAAACATAGTATGGGGACGATTCTTTGATTATCTGCTTCTTTTTTGGTGGATTTTTTCTTGACTATTTTCTATACTTCCTCCAACACAAGCCGCCTGTAGGAGGACGTGCCCAACCTGATCCTCGCTCTAAGTCGCTTACACTTGAGTCACCCTCCGCCGGAGTCGCCTTGGGGGATGCGCGGGGGTGGTCAAACGCAGTGAGTGACGCAGGCCGCTCCTGCCGCATCGCGGTGCAGCAGCGATCGGCACGCCGCGCCCCGAAAGCCAGCCTCGCCTGGGGTCGCTCTTGCGCTGAGCTGACCTGGGAGGAGGGCGAGGAGGCAGAGTGGGCTCATCCAGGCCGCCGAGATGCGGATGGCGTAGAGCGGTGTCGGAGGATCGCGCCGCATCGCCGGTGCATCGGCCATCTGGCTCCGAGGCGTAGCCCATGTTCTTCTGTCCCGATCTCGTCGACGCATCGCCGATGCATCGTGGACGATATCTCGATCCTACCTGCTCCAGTCCTTTCGTGGCGGCGCGCCCCCCAGCTCATTCCGAATGGCATGCCGAAGAAAACAGAAAGAGGAGAACGAGAAGGGCGAGGAGGAGGAGGAGGAGAAGGAGGAGGAGGAGGGGGCAGAGAGGCCCGACTTCCTGGGCTACGTTGCCTGGCTTGCGTGCGTGAACGGAGTTTGTATTACGCCTCTGGCTCGATGGCCCAGCGAATCAGTTTTTGTTGCAGTCTGAATTCGTCTATCATTTCAAGGGCGCTTGTGCCCCATCGTCGGACGCTCCACCGTCGGTACTGCGGTGAGCCAGAAGACGCCACATGATAGATCGCAGTGTAGCCGCTGGCGCTCGACTGCGGATTGAGGGAAACAGTCGAGGTGCCGTTGGGACTCCCTACTCGTATGGCCTAAGTGCTGTGGGGGAGTTGTAGGAGGAGGCTGAAGTATAACCCAAGGATTATCCCAAGCCGGCCCTGTCTTGACGCGCTACCTCAGGGGGGCATCATGTGAGTGGCTTCCCTTCAGGAACACGCTGGAGGACCCACGAACCTTTTAGTGGGGGGTCGCGCCTCGCGGGTTTACAGTCGGGGCGCTGAACAAGGAACCCTTTTCGTTGGGGAGGGGCTCCGTGTTCCTTAATTGTTTCGCAGCTTGCCTTAGGTTGTCCGTAGGTTTTCGATGGGGAATCGAATTTTAGCTTATGGGAAAAAGGGGCCTCGTTCCTTATTTAGGGTGGTTCCTTAGGTCAACGCCCCGACTGTACGCTCTTTCGCCAGGTCGCTTAGGTGGTCTTTCCCCTGCAGGGGATCCGAGGAGGGAGGAGGTGAGGCAGCGTAGCGCTCGGGCGTTGTCGAAGGTGTCCCTGGCCCAGGGTGAACGACGCAACAAAAACGGGTTCGTCTGCGCCGACGTTCTCCGCGTAAGA